AACATTTTCTCCATATGAAAATACAGAATGTTTGGCCAAGCGGTGAGTAAATATATGATTGTTTCGGTTTGTGTATTTGTTTTGACGGCATTAGACCCCCCGATGAAAAGCTTATTTTGTTAAGATTCCAATGGTGTTCTTTGTTTTTAAAGGGGGTGAATACGCACTGAAATATTTACGTTATAAAACAGTTGAATCAAAATATTGCTTGCCGTGAAAAATGTCGCATGTCGAGAAAGAGTTTTTTAACCGAATTTAGCCGTTGATTGACAACTACATAAAAATGTTAACCAATCCGTTTTTTCCGTTCACCAGCGGACGGGTAATTCAAAAACCCCTAGTTATGCGCCTCCCTAGTTTTCGCTGCCTGTAGAAATACCGCCTGCCGCGCAGGCTACTTCACAAGTAGCAGTGGAAAGGATTTTAAAATCAGAGGGTGAAATTTGATGTTTAGTGGTCTGGATATGAGCGAGTATGCCTATATGCCTGACATGGTTGAAACCAAACGTTTCTTTCCAGTCAAAGGTGATACACCCATGTGTTCAGAGTTACGCGTGTGTATATATGTCGGCGAGTTTGATCAACATACAATACACCACAGCATTGACACTTATACAGTAAAAGGAAGACAAAAAATGTTATGCTTTTGTTATGTCTTAATTGTCTGAGCCATTTGCCGGGCTTTATTTTTAATTTTAAATTAACCTTTTGTTTTGTCTAAAAAAATCACGAATATACAGTATATAGAAGTTTCAAGTTCTAGCAATGTTGGAAGTATCCGTACTTGTGTTAAAACCAATTAGACATAATGTCTATAAACATATTTAGCTGCACATAAGAATTAAGGTAAGAAAATAGCGCATTGTTTGGCTGACCTGTGAAAACTTTGTGACAACAAAACATCGATCTGCATGTTCATATAAGAGCCAGGGCCTTCGACATGAACCAATTAAGGTGTGTTATTTTTATGGATCTGACATTATTCTGCCATGGATGAAATAATAAATTCCAACCATAAACCATTCTTCCCACAAAATATGCCCTGTCAGCTTTTTAAAGCGAAAAAGCAGTTTTTATCAGCAACAACTTTTAGTGACCATCGGGATGGGTGGAATATCCCTGGGTGTGAGGTTAACTGGTGGTAATTGTAGTTTTAATATCGCTCCTTGATTGAATGTCTTACGCATACACGCCCTTGCATTTGGAATATAGACAGTTAAGGCTTAATTTCACGTAATGATGCACTACCTTACTTTTCTAGAAACAACACCCAGGCTGATGAGTCAGATGTTGACAGTTGAATATATGCTGTCAGTTTTGTACATGAGTGTGTGTAACCTTCGTCTGTGGTTTTATATTGGTGACTTAAACTCATATTTTGAATTTATGTCTGACCATAACAATGATACCGGTAAGTTGACTTTCAAAGTTTTGTTTACTTTTTTTTGTATCTTTAAAGGGAAATGGCAATATATTTTTTTATTTTCTCATTTGAAAGAACTTTTGAAACTATTTAATAACTTCTTTTACCGATTCTTCATATCTTGCTTAGTTCTTGAAATATTTCACTTGAAGTAACCAGATGTCAGCCATCTTGGATAAAATTTTGATCTCATTAACGGTAGTTTTGGTGACGTCACAACAGGGATTAACCATATAAAAGTATTCGTTTCTGACCAAATATTGATTGGTAGATGTTTTAAACGTTTCAAGTGATCTTCCATGGGCATGCTGAGTATAATTTTGAGTGCAAAATGATTAGTGGTTGTCTAGATAAAAATATTGCGTGACCCCTGTTGTCACGTAACATGCATATCCACAAAAATCGAAGATGGCGGACATTTCATTTCTTTCGATTAAAATATTTGTAGAAGTAAGCAAGATATGAAAAAACAGTAAAAGACTTTTATACATGGTTTTAAATGTTCTTTCAAACGAGAAAATAAAAAAATATATTGCCATTTCCCTTTAATGAAGCCAGATAGAAAACGAAAACAATTCATTTGTGCGTTCCATCTTTTAATGTAGTAAGCAAGTATACCAATTGGTTTGGTATTATTCAATGCACTGGTTTTTTCTTCGCTCCCATCACTGGTCTTGTCACGGACTGGAAACGAAAGAAGAAAGAAAAAACTGTACTTGGTTTTGTAACTGGTTATCTTTTGACTTCATTTGTCGCTTTAATATTGAATATTCTTGTTCTTGTTCCCAGTCTATCTGTGCAGGTATGAGAGCTATGAAAGTCAAGGGATTAATTTATTTAAAAACACCACTATAATAAATAATTTCATATACCCAAGCCACGTTCCAAGCGGCAGCCCGGGCGAAGGTACAAACTCCGCTCTGCTATTCAAGCCAGAGAAAAGGACAGCAAGCGGATTCAAAAGTCCGTCAATTATCGCCGGCTCATGGATGTTATGGGGGTTGACAACCCACTCTCACTTACCTCAGAGACATGAATAAGCAAGCAAAAAATAAGAAAACGTTTCGTGCAACATTTTTAAGCATTTTGCTTTGAAGAAATCTAAGTAAATATTCATTAATTATAAGAAATAGAAAACGAGAGAATGTTGGGAAAAATACGAGAGAAGCGTGCAAAACACGAGGCGTATAGTCGAGTATTTCACACGTTTCTCGAGTATTCTATCAATTTTTGGAAATTAAAACTTAATAATTGACTGGGGAAAAAAGTTCGAAAATGACAAAAACAACCCACCCTTACAAGGGGATCAATTTGCTGTGTTTTGCTGCATCAAACAAGCGGGATTTGGCAGGAAGGTCGTGGAGTCCAAGGTTTTCGTCGAGTTGTTATATCCATCCATCCATCCGTCCATCTATCCGTCCGTCAATCCATCGATCCATCTGTCCATCCATCCGTCCATCCATCCGTCCATCAATCCATTCCTCCATCCATCCATCCGTCCATCTATCTATCTATTTATCTATCTATCTATCTATCTATCTAAGATCTGGAAGTAATTTTAATCGACTATCCAATTGATGAAATTTAAAGCTCTGGGGGTTTAGCGTCAAGTTTCATATGTTTCGTTTCAATAGCTAATATACTATTTCCAACATCGCATAATACTGAATAATCACTTTTTATTTGTATAACCTTCCTCGTGTACAGACGAGAAAGAATACGTTGATATAGGATATATGCGGAATTTAGCCTATATCGATATCTCTTTATGCATGTAACAATATCTTGCAGTTTGTTATTTCTTGTCAATTTCTTCTTTCCGTGTGAATGTTGGCGCAGCTGGAAAATGAAGGCCTGACTTGCAAGTTTGATGTGCCACTTCGACCTTGATCAATCAATAAAACAATTATTATCAAATTAGTTGTAGCAACCGAAACATGTCAACAAACATTAGCAGAATTTATATTTGGAGACCAATTTCCTTCTGAGATGGGAAACTTGTCGCGTCCTAAGGCCTGTTTATATGATCCCGCCAACGGCGAGAATGGATGCTTACCGAAATGCCGCTCAAAACAAATACTCAAATGAGTGTTTATACATGTATGATCGCGCCACTTATTCCTCCTAGATGGGATCTCGGAAACAGATGCCAGGATACCGCCTAAGCGAGATGAAACATTTCCATATAAACACTAGGCAGGGTGAAATTTTCACTGGATCATGCGCAAATGGCTTTTTCGCAAAAAATATGAGGTCAAGCACTTAAATTGCTTCATCCCGGCAATGCATTCGTCCATATAAACACGCTATCCTGCCTAATTGGGAAACTCGCATAAACAGGATGAAAACGTCCCGTCTAGGCGGGATCATATAAACAGGCCCTTAACGTTTTCTACCTGTTATGAGTATGAGACGAAAACCATCCGATGAGTCAACCCAAAAATTCCTGAAAACCTTTTTTTGGTGTTCTTTCCCAAATGTATTCGTACCACATTTACACAATACCTTAATAGATTTAGGGGCCAACATCGCAAAGCGACTGGTATAGAGGAGTTCTCAGGAATTTTTTGGTTTGCTCATAAGATAGTTTCCAAACTTCGTATCCTTTGGTTGAACATTTCCACATCTGAATCTTTAGAGAATTGCATTGACTACAATTTTTTCTTTATTTAGTACGTTTCATTTCTCGTCCTAGTTGTTTTGAGAGCTTTCAATTACTCTATTTTTGCTGCATTTCTTATATACAAGTAAGTGTCATTTATAGACGTGGACTAATCCCCGAGCAACGCAATGAGGGACTAGGATGTTCGTCCGGCTAATTACACTGCAATTAAACAATGCTAAATTAAATGTGTGTGTGTGTGTGTGTGTGTGTGTGTGTCTCTCTCTCTCTCTCTCTCTCTCTCTCTCTCTCTCTCTCTCTCTCTCTCTCT